CCAGACATCCCAAGAATATTGCTACACTAAAACAGTTTTGTGAAGAGGAATGGTCCAAAATGACTCCAGATCGTTGTGCAGGTCTGATCTGCAACTACAGGAAACGTTTGGTTGAGGGTATTGCTGCCAAAGGAGGGTCAACCAGTTATTAAGTCCAAAGGTTCACATACTTTTTCCTCCCTGCACTGTGAATGTTTACATGTTATGTGCAATTAAACCATGGCAACATCTAATGTTTGTGTAGTATTATGTTCAGCAGACTGTGTTCTTCTATTGTTGTGACTTAGATGACGTTCAGAGCACATTTTATGCCCAATTCATGAAAAAACTCCACGGAATCCCAAGGGGTTCACATACTTTTTCTTGCAACTGTATATGACAAAGTAGACAACTTAGTGGAACATTTGTTGTTGACCTCAGATAGATTCTCAGCTTATTGGATTGTCCTGTGTACGGTATTCTAAATCAGTTCATGTTAATATGAACTTTGAGCTTTGAATATCTGTTTGCAGAGAGATAACATGGTCGATTTGCATAGTCGTTGTCATATGTTGCTGAGTTACTGATAGTTTCATACGCTGCATTGCTAGACAGTTGATTTTAATTCATTACTGTTTGAAAATAATTGCTGGTTTGAATTTCTAACCATCATTTTTGATTAGCTCATTGTACTGCTATTTTGATTTGATTATTATTTATCATCACCTATTATATTTTATTACCTTTTGTGCACTGATATTTTTATTATTAATAGTTATTTATTTTTGCACATTATTGCTTTTTATTTCCTCTTCAAATTAGCTCAAATAAAGACTCAGATTATCAGTTGATTTATGAAAATTAGTAGGGAATCTCCTTAACTCCACATCCCCGCCTGTTTTCATAAATTATTTACTGATTATTTTCTCAGAGCAAAAGTTCTAACAGGAGGGTTAGACAGAGGAAACATCAGAGTCCTCCAGCAGAGTATTTCCGGAGAGGAGAGTTAGGCCCCATGTACACAGGACACTTCTGAACGATGGAAACTGACTGCTGGAAAACATAGGTTAAAAAAGTCTGTTTAGCTGTGTTTGCATAATGCGTTTATGTGCGTTTGCGTTTAGAAGTGTTTTTAAAGATAAGCACAGGAGAACCTCCCAAATGCCCAGAATGCACTGAAAAGTGGTAAATTATTAACTATTTCAGACTGTTTCAGAGAAATACAGAGAGTAGAAGCAGAGACAGCAGTATGTGTTGAGATTAGCTAGGTGTGAGTTGCTCATTAACATTTCTTTTGTTTCCAAGGGTGGGAAAGATGTCTGGTGGAGGGAGTCATTAAGGCCACCTGGCAGGGGGTCTTCATGAGGGATTTGAGGTGTGAATGGTCATTAACATTTCTTTTGTTTCCAAGGGTGGGAGAGGTCTGAGGTGTGAATTGGTCATTACAATGTGTGACAAGCTTGGTAGGAACATCCTGTGTTCAGTGTTTTGTCCACCTGAGTACCTTGAAAATGGTTTGCATGCATTTTTCATGATTGTGGACAGCATGAGTCTTCTGGTAAAGTGCTAATGTGTTTCGGCAATCAAACTCCCTTCTTCAGAGCAAGGGAGTTCGACTCCTGAAACGCGTTAGCACTTTACCTGAGGACGCATGCTGTCCACAATTGGCACCTTTGACTTCTTATAAAAATGGGAATATCCTCCTGCGCTTAACTATAGAAACCTATTGTGTGAGCAAGCTGCTATCACCTATTCCATATACCCCAGGATGTCAATGATGATCAAAAAAATGGTGAAGCGCTAAACCAATAAATATACATAAACAAATGTTTAAATAACTGTGAAAAATAAATAAATAAATTATATTAATATGCAACCGTGACTCTCGAAATAAAAGTGACACCTGCTAAAATTACAAATCCACAATAATGTCTAATAACAGATACCTGATCTAATAAATTGAAGTGATGTTAATAAAAATCGTGAAAGGTGCTCAAAATATAAATATTGCAACTATATGGTCAGCAATCCTCTATAAATCATTCAGTGCAAGTGAACAGTGCAAATACACAACAGTGATCAGTCCAAAAAAAACAGTGTTTCAATCTTCAGTGCACACTTGCTTTGTGCTCTCAGTGACACTCTTGCGTGACTTATCCCAATGTGGCTAAAGTGCCTCCTCACCTCACAACATCGACCCCTCAGGGCCACAATGCCTTAAGTTGTCCCACACAGGAAGATGTTCCACAATCAGGCTCCACCGACTCCACTGATTACAATAGGACTCCACTCCTAACTCAGCGTACCTCAAAAATGCCCTTTCACACAGTCCGACTCAAGCATGTATGAAAGGAGTAAACAAAGAAAGACCTCCATAGTGTATTACCACTTTAATCATTAACAAAACGCCAAAAATTGAACATTCACATTAGCTTCCTTTACAGTACAGCAGTTCCCATGTGCTATGGGTGTACTAGAGGATTCAGGTGTACCAAGATGGTGTCAGGAACCGGAAGTGCGTCTCCACTTACCGGAAGTGCGTCACAGCGCATGCGCTCTACGCGTTACACCACGATCAAGATCCTGAAGAATCTTGTCCATCACGTGTCCATCATGGTGTAACGCGTAGAGCGAATGCGCGGTGACGCACTTCCGGTTCCTGACGCCATCTTGGTACACATGAATCCTCTAGTACACCCATAGCACATGGGAACTGCTGTACTGTAAAGGAAGCTAATGTGAATGTTAAATTTTTGGCGTTTTGTTAATGATTAAAGTGGTAATACACTATGGAGGTCTTTCTTTGTTTACTCTTTTCATACATGCTTGAGTCGGACTGTGTGAAAGGGCATTTTTGAGGTACGCTGAGTTAGGAGTGGAGTCCTATTGTAATCAGTGGAGTCGGTGGAGCCTGATTGTGTGGAACATCTTCCTGTGTGGGACAACTTAAGGCATTGTGGCCCTGAGGGGTCGATGTTGTGAGGTGAGGAGGCACTTTAGCCACATTGGGATAAGTCACGCAAGAGTGTCACTGAGAGCACAAAGCAAGTGTGCACTGAAGATTGAAACACTGTTTTTTTTGGACTAATCACTGTTGTGTATTTGCACTGTTCACTTGCACTGAATGATTTATAGAGGATTGCTGACCATATAGTTGCAATATTTATATTTTGAGCACCTTTCACGATTTTTATTAACATCACTTCAATTTATTAGATCAGGTATCTGTTATTAGACATTATTGTGATTTGTAATTTTAGCAGGTGTCACTTTTATTTCGAGAGAATTTAGCAGGTCACCTTTGACCTCTTGTCTCTGTTTTTATGACTTTTCATGGCTTGTGAGTATGTTTTTGCATCTTTTTAATACATTTTTGGTTATTGTGTTAATGCACGAGGAGAGTGCGCCCTGTTTTGCTCTTTTCAGATGTAGGAGCCACATTCACCTGTTCCCAGAAAATAGCAAATGCAGCCAAGGGGCCCCAGTAGACAATAAAAATATGTGTATCTTGGTAAAATGATCATTCATTTGAACTGTTTTACCTGCAGGCCATTTGGGTCCCTGCAGAAGCCTGGCTAAAAAAGTCCCAGTTAGCATCTCCTACGTTCTTCTTTGCTGCTAGAAGGCGAAAACTATTGGTTTTCACTCCAGTAATGCTGGATTTGGACATCCAACGGTTTTTACATCCTATCAACAAGTCAGGATGTGGAGGTTACAAACTAGGAGTTTTTTTAGCCAGATTTCTAAGAGGACCCAAATGGTCTAGAACACGGATGTCAAACTGGTGGCCCTCCAGCTGTTGCCAAACTACAATTCCCATGAGATTTTTCAAGGCTGACAGTTACAAGCATGACTCCCAAAGGCAGAGGCACGATGGGACTTGTAGTTTCGCAACAGCTGGAGGGCCACCAGTTTGACACCCCTGGTCTAGAGGTAAAAAAATCAAATTAATGGTCGCTTTACAGAGCTGCACAAATTATTACTATCTTGGGTAAGACAAAGCGAGCGCTCTAAATGAAGCAGCTGTAGCACTAAAGGTAACCATATAAAAACCTCAATAAAACTGTATAAATTAATAAAGTGCAGCGCTAATAAAAATGACAATAAAAGTTCATAAATTATATGAAATGGTAAATGATCCCAACTGTAGCAGAATTCAAATGCTTGTGCTTGGAAGTAATGGTAAAATTGCGCACTCACCAGATGCGCATTGAATATATGCATATAAATATATCCACCACGGACCACTTAGGGAAGCGGGTATGTCAGGCGTCTGGTGAACTTCCTTCTAGGTATGGAACAGCACAGCAGTATATCCTGGGATTAAGTAAGATCTGCTCATCCAGAGGTCCCCTTTAGGATGGATGGGTCTGCAGCCTGTTTACAGGGATTCCCTCCTCTGGGTGCTGGATAGGTAAGGATCATCTGCAGGCTCTGTAATTTAATAGCTCCATAGAGGAGCCACAATAGAAGTGCCCATAGTGTAGTATTTCTAATGCTTTATTCCATGGAAATATTATTAAAAGGGATTAACAGTATTGCACTGACCAATAGTAAAGATGGTCACTGGACCTACACGTGGCTCCAGCGGCGTGACGTCACGGCGTGTTGGTTCACCCTTAAGATTTTCGTGCCACGCACGTCCTCAGAGGGGAGACCAACCATATACAAATTATTACTATCTACTGGGTCCCTTTGACTGCATAGGCTATTTTTCTGGAACTTAGCCTTTAGGTCACTCATAGTTTTTCAGGAGAGGAGCATTAGATAAAAAAAAGCCTCACTGGTAAGCCAAGCTTCTGAACGTTACCAAGTTCTTTTTATCATTTTAAATTACAGGTTGAATCCATGCAAGCTGATTCCATATTTTTGTAAGCCCTGATGAAGGAGGTGATGTGTAGTCCCTGAAACGTGTTGGAAGTTGTGGAATAAAACCAATATTTCAAAGTGACCCCATCAATTTTAGAGTCAAATATCATTCCCATGATGTGAGGAAGAGGAAGGAAACAGGGAAATGTTACCTGGTAGTGCATGTACCATACCATCCTCAGCGTGCACCGTAACCGGCATCCACCTTTCACATCCTTCCAAGGCGCGATTGTAACTGAACCTGTGGAGCTCATGAAGGCTGGTGAAATGGCATAATCTGCTCAGATTGTAGAACTGCGGAGGAGGAATCCATGTTCCCTGACCCCTGTACTCATCAATGGCTTCCTGAGGAGTCCACCACTAAAACAGAAAGTTTTCAGTTCACAAAAATGCATTGAGATAGTCTATTGCCAAGGAAGGGGGGGGGGACACAATCCAAGTTGGCTATACACATTACAAAGATTTGTACAACTAACCCTTTCTTTCAATCAGGGAAGATCAGCATCACATGTAGGTGTTACCTAGGATGGGCTACATGCAAATACAGCCTTCCTGGAAACGGCCACTCCCCCAGACTGACATCCACCTATCAGAGCCATTGGCTTCTGCTGCTGTCAATCAAATCCTGTGGGGGAGGAAGGCAGGGGGCAGGGCCAAGCCACGCTGTGTGTGTTAATGGATGCACACAGCCAGGCTCGCAGATGTGCCACCACAGGAAGCTGCTTCCCACAGAGAAGAGACGCCAAGAACACTGCCAGGAGACCCCAAAGGAGTAGGTTCTGGGCTGCTCTGTGCAATACCATTGCACAGAGCAAGTAAGTATGACATTTATTTTAATTAAAAAAAATACTCTCTACAACCACTTTAAAGGGACTCTGTCATAACCCCTCCCCAATGCCAAAACCTAAGCCGGCCATACATAAATCGACATTCGATCAGTCTTCATCAATCAACTTGGATACAACCAGTCTGCCAGATTTTTCTGCATGCAATTATTGGCAGTGGGTATAGCCACTAACAGTAATCATTGTGTTCTGCTAGCTAGGAAGGCTCTTCACACCCCTTCCCCCACGCTGGTAGACTACAATAGCGCTGTGGAAGGGATCCCCTCATCAACACTGACTGTGTTGATGGGGGGAATCAAGTGATTTTTCTTTCCTTCCAGAAAGAAAATCGATTAAGCTATGGCTTGCATTATCTGACCCTTTTTACCCCTTGTGCATCCCCATTGGCCAATGAGGCAATGGACTAATGACAAGCTCCATAATTACCAGGTAGCATTGGGGCTTTGAATGTCAGCATTGCACAACGTTCAGCCGTAATGGCAAGGAACTGAATGCTTCTTCAGATAGAGGTGCTTGCACTTTATATCTGCAGCAATTAGATCCTCACACCTGGAACTACCAGGATTTTTTTGGATCTCTGGCAAGAAAAAAATTAAAGCAGCAGAGGGGGTTTACTTTATAGACAACCAATTTCTTTGGCCTGCAAAATTCCAAGTTTGCTTTAACACCTGAATTGCAGCACTAGGGTCCTGGGTTTGAATCCCAACCAGGACCCTATCTGCATGGAGTTTGCATGTTCTCCCTGTGCTTGTATGGGTACTCTGTTGTCCTTCCACACTCCAAAGACTTGCAGGTAGGTCAACTTGCTTTTTTCTAAATTGGCCCTAGTATGTGTATGTATGAATGTGAGTTAGGAACCTTAGATTGTAAGCTCCTTGGGGGGGCAGGGACTGATGTGAATGTACAGTAAGTGCTGCTTAAAGTGTCAGCACTATGTAAATACCTGGAATAAATGAATAAACAATTCAGGACAGGTCTACTTAACCAATCATACTTTGGAACTCACGTTAAAGGTAGTCATTTCCTTTTGATCATCTACGGTGACCGGCTTCTTCTGCAGACAGGCAATGTAGAAGGCAGTGTCGAAGCGCCTGGCCCGAGAACTCTTAGAGAACGGGGGTGTCAGCCAGTTGCCCCACTCATGCAGGGCCCAGATGTTTGGAACACAATGCAGCTCCTTGCACATCTCAATAAACTGCAGCGGATTGTTCTGGACCTCCTCCCTCCACTTAGCCATTTCCTCTCCACCATAAGCGTCCATTAGGTCTTGGCTAGCATCAAATTCGGCACTTTCGGGAACCACCAGCAGTATTCCAGATTCCTCAAACGTCTCTCTGATGGCACAGATCCTGAAGGCGACCTCCCCGGGGATCAACGACCCAAATTTCTTCCTGTCTGTAACAAACATAGGAGACCTGGTGCTGGAGGATTGCCTGACCACACCAAGGCCAAAGTTTGGTTTGTTGACATGTCTCTGGAAGACGTGGATCCAGTCGTTGGAGAAGTCAGAGACATCGACCACCCCTCCAGGGAACACAAAAGCGTTGGGCATGAAGCCGCTCTTCTGGCTGCGCTTCAGTAATAACACCTCGTAATCGAATGTACTTTTTCTACGGTCGTTCCTAGACATCTGAGATGCCATTTTGGGAATGATGTTTCCATGTTGCAAACCAGCAGCTAAAATCAGGGTGGCAGCTTCCCTCCAGTGTTGCAGCGTATTGTTCATTTTCAAATCTTCAATGTTCTTTTCCTTTAAAAAAAATTAGATATCAATGGAGATCCAATTGACAAATAATTTACAAATCCAAGTTACAATGTTGCAATCTCATCACTGGGAGAGAGGAGACTGGGGAAATGCTTCCTACTGCCTGCACCATACTGATGACATCATCTCAGCCTAGGCAAAGTCGCTAGGCTAGAGCTCAAAGATGGCTTTGTATTGATAAAAGGTGGAGCTTTTCTGGAAAACGTAGTCTGTTGTTTTATAGTGTTACATGTCAAGAATTTAGGCATGAAGACTTATAAAACTACTGACAGGTCCACTTTATTGGACTCACAAACAAGGATTAATATTTATGTTTTCTAATGATGCCTATTTATCAGATAGTTTGAATCAAGAGCTTAATTTTTTCCCTTAGTTCCCCAATGTCAATGCCCCCACTCACCATTTTAATTACTGTAAGAGCCCTTTGTCCAAGAAACCCCAAATCCCGAGAATCTAGCTTAAGAGATACCATACCTGTATACGGTATACATTATATTGCCAAAAGTATTGGGCCAGCCTTCCATATCATGTGATTCAGGTGTTCCAATTACCTCCATGGCCACAGGTGTATAAAATCATCACCTAGGCATGCAGACTGCTTCTACAAACATTGGTGAAAGAATGGGTCGCTCTCAGGAGCTCAGTGACTCCAAGCGTGGTCCCATGATAGGTGGCCACCTGTGCAATAAGTCCATCCGTGACATTTCCTGGCTACTAAATATTCCACGCTCAACTGTTAGTGGGATTATAACAAAGTGGAAGCAACTGGGAACAACAGCCACTCAGCCACCAAGTGGTAGGCCACGTCACATGACAGGGCGGGGTCAGCACATGCTGAAGCGCACAGTGTGCAGAAGTCACCAACTGTCTGCAGAGTCAGTAGCTAAAGACCTCCAAACTTGGTGTGGCCTTCAGATGGGCACAACAACAGTGTGTAGAGAGCTTCATGGAATGGGTTTCCATGGCCGAGCAGCTGAATCCAAGCCTTACATCACCAAGTGCAATGCAAAGCATTGGATGCCGTGGCGTAAAGCACACCGCCACTGGACTCTAGAGCAGTGGAGATGTGTTGTCTGGAGCGACCGGTTGCCAGAGAGAATGATACTTGCCTGACTGCATTGTGCCAAGTGTAAAGTTTGGTGGAGGGGGGATTATGATGTGGGGTTGATTTTCAGGGGTTGGGCTTGGCCCCCTAGTTCCAGTGAAGGGACCTCTTAAGGCCTCAGCATACCAAGACATTTTGGACAATTTCATGCTCCCAACTTTGTGAGAACAGTTTGGGGATGGCCATTTCCTTTTCCAACATGGCTGCGCACCAGTGCACAAAGCAAGGTCCATAAAGACATGGAGGAGCCAGTTTGGGGTGGAGGAACTTGACTGGCCTGCACAGAGTCCTGACCTCAACCCCAAAGAACACCTTTGGGATGAATTAGAGCGGAGACTGCGAGCCAGGCCTCCTCCCCCGACATCAGTGCCTGACCTCACAAATGTTCTTCTGGAAGAATGGTCCAACCTTCCCATAGACACCCTCCTAAACCTTGTGGACGGCCTTCCCAGAAGAGTTGAAGCTGTTATAGCTGAAAAGGGCGGGGCCAACTCAATATTGAACCCTACGGACTAAGACTGGGGGCCATTAAATTCATGTGCGTGGAAAGGCAGGCGGCCCAATACTTTTGGCAATATATTGTGTGTGTCTATGAAGTCAGTGTACATGCAATGCTCCGGGTCCACAGTTCAAGGGTTAGCGGTGGAATATCTCTCTGATAATAGAGAACTGATAATAATCTCATGTTTCTAGGGACAGCCTCAGGTCTCTCCATTATTTTGTCCAAAGGTTTTACCCTCTTTATCACCAGGCCATTTTTTGTTATACCGCACTGCGCTACTTTAACTGGTAATTGTGTGGTCGTGCAATGCTGTAACCAAACGAAATGTATATCTTATTTCTTCACACAAATAAGAGCTTTCTTTTGGTGGTATTTGATCACCACTGGGGGCTTTTTATTTTTTGAGATATAAACGAAAAAAGACCGAACATTTTGTAAAAAATAAAACCACAATATTTTATACTTTTTGCTGTAGAACATTTCCAAAAAAAAAAATTTTAAAAATCAAATTTTTTCATAAATTTTGGCCAAAATATATTCTGCTACATGTCTTTGATACAAAAAAATCCCAATAAGTGTATACTGATTGGTCTGCATGAAGGTTATAGCGCCTACAAACTATGGTATATATACTGAATTGTTTTTTAAACTGACACTGACATCACCATTAATACAGTCATCAGTGATAGAACTAAATGCTGTCACTGTACTAATGACACTGGCTGGGAAGGGGTTAACATCTAGGGCTATCAAGGGGTTAAATGTGTGCCTAACTATGTGTAATGTGTGTAAAGTGTGCCGCTTTTATTAAACAATCTCTAAGTTTCTCGTCCCTGCTTTGCTAGATATATTCACTAGATATAGTGAATGCAGGGTCCAGGGAGAGCGGATATAGTGAATGCAGAGTCCGGGGAGAGCGGAAATAGTGAATGCAGAGTCCGGGGAGAGCGGATATAGTGAATGCAGAGTCCGGGGAGAGCGGATATAGTGAATGCGGGGTCCGGGGAGAGCGGATATGGTGAATGCAGAGTCCAGGGAGCCTGGATATAGTGAATGCGGGGTCTGGGGACAGCGGATATAGTGAATGCAGGGTCCAGGGAGAGCAGATATAGTGAATGCAGGGTCCGGGGAGAGCGGATATATTGAATGCGGGGTCCGGGGAGAGCGGATATGGTGAATGCAGAGTCCGGGGGAGCCTGGATATAGTGAATGCAGGGTCCGGGGGAGAGCGGCTATAGTGAATGCAGGGTCCGGGGAGAGCGAATATAGTGAATGTAGGGCCCGGGGAGGGCAGATATAGTGAATGCAGGGTCCGGGGAGAGCAGATATAGTGAATGCAGGGTCCGGGGAGACTGGATATAGTGAATGCAGGGTCCAGGGAGACCGGATTTAGTGAATGCAGGGTCCGGGGAGAGCGGATAAACTGAATGCCGGGTTTGGGGGAGACCGGATATAGTGAATGCAGGGTTTGGGGAGAGCGGATATAGTGAATGCAGGGGTGAATGCAGGGTCCGGGGAGAGCGGATATAGTGAATGCAGGGTCCGGGGAGAGCGAATATAGTGAATGTAGGGCCCGGGGAGAGCAGATATAGTGAATGCAGGGTCCGGGGAGAGCAGATATAGTGAATGCAGGGTCGGGGAGACTGGATATAGTGAATGCAGGGTCCAGGGAGACCGGATTATAGTGAATGCAGGGTCCGGGGAGAGCGGTAAACTGAATGCCGGGTTTGGGGAGACCGGATATAGTGAATGCAGGGTTAGATATAGTGAATGCTGGGGAATGCAGGGTCCGGGGAGAGCGATATAGTGAATATAGGGTGCGGAGAGAGATATAGTGAATGCAGGGCGGGGAGGGTGAATGAATGCGGGGGGAGAGCGGATATAGTGAATGCAGGGTCCGTGGAGAGCAGATATAGTGAATGAGGGGTCGGGGGAGCGCGGATATAGTGAATGCGGGGTCCGGGGAGAGCGGATATAGTAAATGCGGGGGGTCGGATATAGTGAATGCGGGGTCCGGGGACAGCGGATATAGTGAATGCGGGGTCGGGGAGAGCAGATATAGTGAATGCAGGGTCCGGAGAGAGCGGATATAGTGAATGCAGGGTCCGGAGAGAGCGGATATAGTGAATGCAGGGTCCGGGGAGAGCGGGGAGACCTGATATAGTGAATGCAGGGTTCGGGAAGACCGGATATAGTGAATGCAGGTTCCGACCGGGAGATCGGATATAGTAAATGCAGGGTCCGGGGAGACCGGATGTAGTGAATGCAGGGTCCGGGGAGAGCGGATATAGTGAATGCAGGGTCCGGATATAGTGAATGCAGGGGAGAGCGGATATAGTGAATGCAGGGTCCGGGGAGAGCGGATATAGTGAATGCAGGGTCCGGGGAGAGCGGGGAGAGCAGAGCGGATATAGTGAATGCGGGGTCCGGAGAGAGCAGATATAGTGAATGCGGGGTCGGGGAGAGCGGATATAGTGAATGCAGGGTCCGGGGCGAGCGGATATAGTGAATGCGGGGTCCGGGGAGAGCCGGATATAGTGAATGCGGGGTCCGGGGAGACCGGAGTGATGAGCGCATATAGTGAATGCGGGGTCGGGGAGAGCGGATATAGTGAATGCAGGGTCCGGAGAGAGGTGGATATAGTGAAATGCGGGGTGCAGGGGGAGAGCGGATATAGTGAATGCAGGGTCCGGGGAGAGCGGATATAGTGAAATGCTGGGGGGTCCGGGGAGAGGGTCCCGGATATAGTGAATGCAGGGTCCGGGGAGACCGGATATAGTGAATGCAGGGCCCGGGGTTTAGTAACACTTTAAATCTACCCAGGTTGATTTACTAAAGGCAAATAGATTGTGCACTTTGCAAGTGCAGTTGCTCCAGAACTTAGCAGATGAGGGGAAGCGCTGCAGATTTCCATCATCCAATCATCGGCAAGCAAAAATGCTGTTTTTTTTTAATTTCCTTGATTGGGTATTGTTTGTAAAGTGAACCTTGATCTCATTTACTAAGTTCTGGAGCAGCTGCACTTGCAAAGTGTTCAGTCTGTTTGCCTTTAGAAAATCAGCCTCGCCGCTCAGCACAGACCCCTCGGCAGATCACACAGAACATGGACATGCATTCCTCCTACCCCCCCCCACCCACCCCCCACAGTCACTGCTGTGACATTGGCAGTCTTACCCCAGCCTGTGTCCTTCCTACTTCAGAGGGAAGCCATTACTGTAGTCATCAGAATGACTGCAACTCCCAGAATGCCGTGCGAGAGTCCCTCCCAGCTACAGAGATCTCCAGTCTTCCATACTGGATACAGTAACACCTGTCTCCATAGCAACAGAAGAACACAACTGATACATTGTATCC